TTCATTTAAATAAAATTTAAAGAGATTTACCATACCTTATCTTTCTTTCCTTTTTTTGTCTTCTCAGGTGGTGGCACTTTGGGAGCTGGTGGTGGTGGCGGTGGAGGAGGGGGAGGTGGAGGCGGTGGTGGTTCTATGATAGCCGTGCTAGGCACAGCACCTCGGGCCTGGACTGGCTGCAGTGTGGCAGCAGTTACTCCAATTGGGACAGAACATTCAGTGTAACTCATAATTGCAGGTGCTGCTGATGCCAGTCCTAGGTAATTTGACTGCAGGCTCATTCCTCTGGCCTGGTGACCCATTCCTGTTGCTGGATGGCTAACTGATATCGCCTGGTGTCCAATTCCTGCAGCCCCATGACTGATCCCTGTTGTCTGATGACCTAACACAGAAAACATAACATGAAACTATAAAGAAGACATTATGACAAAGCCAAAAACAAGGAAAAGAAGGAAAAGGGAACTGGGGGTTAGATCACCTACAAAATGATTCCAATATGCATTTCTCAAAAAAAAAAAAAAAATCACATTGGTAGTGAAATATTAAATTTCAAAATAGCTTAGCAACAATATTTAACATCAAAATCACTGACATGTGTGATAGCACAGAAGACAATTGGGAATGACACATGCAATTTTGTTGGCACCCAAAAGAAAAACATATAAAACCTTTGCAACAAAAACATTTTACTTAATATTTCTTCAACTTTAGATGTTGAATTCCGGAAACAAAGAAACATACATTGTGGAAAACACTAATCATGATCATGATACTTACCTGTGGTTATAGCTGACTGGCTGTAGAGGACAGGAGAACTACCAATGGTAGCTGATCTCTGAACTACTGCGGTACTAATTTCTGTAGCTTTTCTTTTTATTGCTTTAGTAGAAGGAGAACTAGAGGCGGCAGAATCAGCTGGACTCTGAAACACAAATATTCTAGCTAGTGCCTAAGGTCTTGATTCAACATCCTCTTGTAAAACAAAACTTATCAGTCATACCCCCAATCCAGAATGACAAATGGCATTTCTCACCTGGCTAGCTACAACTGTAGTTTGTGTTGAAGGTTTCAATGGAGTATCCTCCTCTGTTCCTGGGGCAGGAGGCTCCTCACTTCCCTCATCCTCCATCTCCACCTCCTGGATCTCACCATCTTCTACAGGAGGAGGAGGTGGCGGCGGTGGCGGAGGAGGAGGGGATTCTGGGGGTGGAGGTGGGGGTGGTGGCATCTCCAAAGGTAATGGAGGTTGAAGCACAGGCACATTTGACTGAAGGAGGGTCCAAAATGGAGTAAGTGGCATGAGTGAAGAAGAAACTTGGCCAGAGAAGGACTCTTTACAAAGAGAACCTATGAAAACAAACAGGAGTCAGGAAAAAAACAAGACAAAAATTCTATGGCTTAAATTCATAGAAATGTTCAACTGAATGATGAGACAAAATTTGACATACAGGCATCTATTCTACAGTGATGTCACTGAAATATGAAATGATCAGTCCAGAAATGATTTCCACAGAAGGGTAAACTTATGAACTTCATGGTTTGCATTTGCCCCAATTGTGTTACACTAGTCTTGCTCTTTAGATCCAGATTTATGGATGAGTAAATGATGCACAACACATCAACTCAATGAGAAATTTAGTCATCTGAATCTGTAGTTTTTATTTCAAACATTCAGTTTCAGTACTGTTGCTTGACACAACTAGAAGGCAACACTGGGGTCTTTTTTTATTTCAAAAGTGAAGCAGTGAGTGAATGATGTATGTCTGCAACAGATTCCATGAATTTTACTTTCAGTGAGTTATGCAAGTGATTGGGGGCGACCCAGTAAGTACCATTTAACCCACTCACAACGTCTACCCATTTCCATTAATTTCGGTACTAATTTTAAAAAATCCATTTGCTAACCCTATCATTCATCCTTCACATCTGTAAGTGAAGTGAATTCATTTGCTAAGTCACGGTGACAAAAATCAGAGGGTTAATTTTTTATTTTTCTGATCAGAATAGGGAAAACTAATAGACTAAATCTTCAAGGCAAATGATAACTAAGGCAAACACAAAAGGGGTGTTTGAAGATGTAGAGGATATGAAATTGCTGTTGAAAGTGAGTTAAGAAATCACAGCCGGGAAGCTATGGGATCAGCTTTCCTGAAATTCTGCAAAAACGACATTTAATCACTGTCCTTTCTTTGCTGGGAAAAGCTTTAAAGGTTAGAAAAAACAGGAGGATATACTTACTTGTAGCCTTCCCCATCCCTCTTTATCGTCAATAGGGAAGTTTCACAATATATGGGACTATTAGATATATATCCCAGGAATGTTGAAGGGGATTTTCTCCCTAAAATCATAGAATTTAGGAGTAGAAGAGACATGAGAAATTATCTAGGTTCAACCTTCTCATTTTAAAGGCAATGAAACCCAGGAGGGAAATAACTTGCCCAAGATCATCAGTTTCTCCTGGCCAGGGCTAGTCTAATGCTTTCTATTTTATCAAGATGTCCTCATGAAGTGTCAGGAGTCCAAGAGCTTTAGAAAGCTCAGTGAAGTGAATCTCACTTCTCATGAAGTATCTCCAGATGCAGTCTCCTGTCAATCTTCATAGTCAAGAGCAAAAGAGGTTGTAGGGCAAGAACAAAGCCTTTACCTTGCTGTGCTCAAAATACAGCAAACTGGGTAAGACTGAAGCAACCCAAGAACCATTTGGCTTTTAGAATAGCTTTACTTTTTATGGGATAAATGATAAATTATGTAAAATTTTGAGTTTAAGAACAGGATTCACATGGCTATTAATTTTTAAAAGCTGTTTGCTATGGAAAAGTGCACTGAAAAAAAAAATTCAAATAGGAATGCAGTTTTTTCAGCTAAAAAACTTCAAATGTCCCATTAAACATTTGTATTTAGCTATATCTGGTATGATTTTATGGATAAACTTTTAGACAAAGTCCATGGATGGCCAGGTAGTCGCCAACATTATATAATAGTACATCAAAATTACGAAAGCCCTAAGGTAATAACATTAAGGATTAATATCTTACTAAATTTTCTTCTACTAACCACAACATAAGTAAATAAATCAGATTTTATATATTGACGTATCTCTCAGCTAGAAGCATACCAATGTGTTTATGATGGTGGCATGCTGCAACATGTAGAGGAACTTAAGAAAACACAGCAGGTTCAAGGTTAATAATATGGCTTACAACTTCTAGGCCAATCAGAATTAAGTTTTGTGTAAATGAGATAAACTTGATGAATTTAGCAGCAAACAAGGGAAACTTGAATATATGAATCCCAAACTATGTTTATTCAAAACATAAATGCTGTATCATAACAATTATTTTCTTTAGCTTTAATACAAAGAATTTCAATAAATCCTAGTCTGAATATCTATGGATATCCTTTTATAATGACGCTTCTCTTCATTTTTATATTTAATCCAATTGGTCATACACTGACATTTAAAAAAATATTTACCTCTGGAGAGATTAATAAAGAGAGATTTAATAAAGTGAGATTAAAATGGTATGCACTTGTATTATGTGCCAGTAGATCAAAATACTACAAGGTTAAAGACAGAATAGTGTGCAAATTTTAAATTCCTTAAGAACAGTTTTTTTTCTATTTACCTTTACTTCTATTTTTCAGCAGGCTTCCTTCATTGTTTTCCTATATTACCCGAAGTAAAATTTCTGCTTGTACTTTGAGACCAGTTTAAACCATTTAAAAAACTTGTTATACAAATAATAGTTTCATAGATTTTTTTAAAAAGCAATTAAATATAATATAGATGACAAAAGTCTAACAAGACAAACTGGATATTTTAATGTATCACACATTTGTAGAGACATGACGTTAAATCAAACACTGAACAACGAACAAGGATAAAAATGAACAGAACTTTCTTGTGCCTCACAATGTAATTTTTTTTTCTTTAAAGGATGGTTTTAACCACTGCTCAGCAAACAAAGAACATTTAAATTTTCTTTATTGGCTTAAACAGATTAGTATTGCTCTTAAATCTCAAAAGACCTTAGAGTACAAAATTAGAAATTTATTTTGATCAGGTTTATCATGTGGTTTTAATAAAGAAGATTAAGATTATAAGATGATTTATCAGCAGCTTTTTCTACAGCATAACTGATTTCATTTTAATCAGATAGGAATGTCCCAAAATCTTCCTTTTACCAGACAGTTCCAACTCTATGTGTGCCACCAACAAAGGGAGAAAATAATATGTAACTCTAACAGAACCCTTAGAGGTGGAAATTCTAGAATATTCAGCTTTGGAACATACAAGAAAAGGACATTAGACAGTGGTCAGGAGAGGAATCACCTACCCAGAACCACCATCAAGCCTCTTCAGTTCACTAACTACTAAAAAGCAAACAAACAATAAAACCAACTTAGACATATAATTGCTACCAAAGAATGGGAAAGTAATTAAAAAAAAAAAAAAAAAAAAAAAAACTCCACGAAAATGTAAGTGAAATAAATACCCTCTAGTTAAACACATTTCCGAAATACGAAGAATAAAAACAAGGATTCTTATGTTGTAAAACTATTATTGCAGTCTCATGAGGTTTTAGAGTGATAGAAGATTCTTAGGTAGTTTAAGAAGTTGACAAAGTCATTTTACATAACTAGTTTCATTAGGAACATTATCAGCACTTTTTAAAAAAAGATTTATTTATTTATTTATACAAGCACTGCGTACAGCCAGAAGCACGGGAGAGTGAGAGAACTCACCAGAGCGAAAGCGGAGAGAAGAAAAGGCAGACTGACGAAGTACACTGCCAAGGGGAGCAGCGGGCACGGCAGGAGAGGTCTGCGCGCCATTTGGGACCCTCACTGGTGGCCGGGGATCAAACAAGCGCTGCAAATGCTGCGGGCAGCTTTGCAGCCCAAAGCTCAACTGCTGCGCCACCAGGGAGGCCCCATTATCAGCACTTTTCTACTGGGATCGAGAAGCCAGCTGAGCACACAACTTTTTTTTTTTTTTTAAAAATATGTAATGTTTCACGAATATGCGTGTCATCCTTGTGCAGGGGCCATGCTATTATTATTCTCTGTATCGTTCCAATTTTAGTATATGTGCTGCCGATGTGAGCAAGAACGTTATCATTTTTGATAACCAGAGAACAAAAGAATTCAGCTCTTCATTATTCCCTATGTTACTAAAGTGTAATCTTTTTATTTTCAAAGGTTTACTACTTTAGAAATCACTCCAAAGACTCTTGCCTTCATATGCTATCATTTTTTCATATGTTATCATTTTAACAAAGTTACTAGCTTTTAGATCAAAAGGGTAATCAACATAGTCTTAACTATGCTTTATTACATTTGATGGTCCAAGAAGGATGGACTTAAAGGGAAAATTATCTTCTTCCATAATGTGGAAATTAAGCTGTAGCTCCTTGCAAAAGCTATCAGATCCTCAAAAGAAGCAAGGTGCTATTAAGGCCTTTAAAAAAAAGGTACAGAACTAAATTGAAGCTATCCAAGAGTACCTTATACTGGAATGTGACTGATTTTCAATGAATTATTTTGCTTCTCTGAAACAAGTATGATCCTAGTTTCACAGAATTTCTTCAGATTATTTTGATTTCTAACAAGCATACTTCTAATAAGGAGAATTGAAAAACGCTGCAGTATCAATAGACTTAACTGTTCTGCAGAAACATCAATTTCATATTATCACTCTACTTTGACATTAAACAATTCAACTAGTATTTCAGCACTAACTAGTGTTCCTGTTAATGAAAATCCATAGCTTTGTTTGTGAAAAGACAGAGTAGCTATAGAAAAAAATTTAAGATCAAAATATTTTGTACCTCACCCTTTCTATTTTTAGCTGAGTGAGCTATTAACTGTAGGTTAATTTCTAACCAGTCAATGACTTGGTTTTCTTCATTATGATTCCTACATTTTTTTTTAAGGTCAAACCACTATTTTAAACAAGAAACTTATGTCAGAATGACATGAATTCCCTTCATTTACGATACCAATGTCTTTTTTTCCCCCTCATAAATCAGTTCTCCCCAATTAGTACAGGATAAATTATCCCACCTGTGGAATTCTCAGAAGATTCTGTAGCATTTGAGTCAGTGCCAGTTTTGTCTTTCAAGGTCTGTTTAGGAAGAGTCTCATCTCTACTTTCTTTTGCTTGGCTTTCTTCTTCCTCCTCCTCACCATCTGGGAACTCCCACTGAGACTCGCCCGACTGCTCGTTTACATAGAAATATCGTCTATGATCCCTAAATTACAAGAAAGAAAACACACGTTTTAAGAACCATTCTCCTACAAAGACACTTCCATTTGGTCCTGTCCCAGGACAGCGTCTGCTCTCACAGGGACGAACCTCTTCTTAATGGACTGCTATTCACAAAGGCAACAAAGAGCTTTGACAATTGAGGATGGAGAACCAAGCATAATTCAAAGCTATTTGCACTGCCAGCAGCTCTGTGAATACAGCCTGAGCCCTCTCCAACACATGATTTAGAAAACACCTCTCACATCTCTCTCTTTTTTTTTTTGCCAATGCTTAACAGGGTTTCAAGGTTCATTAATGAAGGGACTCAAACTCCTAGAACACTAATTTCCCTTCCAAAGAAGAGAACAACGAAGTTTGCGAAAGGTGACTCTTCCCCTCTTGGACCGTGGAATTCACATTTCATACTCTTGGTATCAAACACAGTGAAAGCTAAAGAGAGGGAGAGGATCTGGGAGCTGAAAAATAAAAGAGCAAAGATTTCAAATAACGAAAAAAAAATCAAGAAAAGCCAAATATAAAAAGAAATGTTTTCATCTGACCTGCTGGCAGAAGATAGTAATCTTGTTCTTCTTTCACATCTTCAGCCACGAAGCTTTTCTTAACTTCACCGAGGTTAATCAGGAGTAGTTGCTTCCAGAGGTCCTGTAAAGCGCACAGAGCTCTCGCATGCGCTTAACCCCCAAGCCCGCCCTACTCCGTGCAACACTCTGGAGAGAAGTAAACCAGCTTTGTCCAATCTTGGGAAAAAATCCGTTACATGGAACACTTTAAACATTGCTTTTGTTTCTCCAACGTGTGGCTGGCACAACTCTGTAAGTGCTTGCGGTGCTTTGCCTGCCCTGCACCGCTAACTGCAGCTGCTCTCAGTCTCCAGACAGGCTGTCATGTCGTCAGGTGGTGGTGATCACAAATCATGTCTGAGATGTCAAAGGTGAAAGGTGAAAAGGGGAGAAGAGTGCGTACCTGTCCCAGTGGCAGGACCAGCCTTTAGGAGTGGCGTTTATTTCATACTGTTTTAGTTGTTCTGCTGCATCCTGAAGTTTTCGTTTAAGGTAGTTCCCATTAAGAGCCCCTTCCCGCCAGTCTGCAATCCGAGTCTAGAATGAACAAACAAGTAAGTTATAGACTTATGTCAGGAATTTATTTAGTTCAGTAATGTTATTAACCAAGCTAATAGCTTGGACAGTTTCCTTAAGGAAACCGGTCAGCTATCCATAGAAGTTCTTCGCCTAATCCTGCTCTGCCATTTTGCAAACTATGCAGCTTACAGAACTACTCATTTTAAATGATTTATAATGCTTATAAAGTAACATGTTAAATTTTAATGCTTTTAAAATATTTTCATCGGGCCTCCCTGGTGGAGCAAGGGGTCAAGCATAGCACCATGAAGCAATCCGCAGCCTCTGTAGCACGAGTTCGATCCCCGCCGGCCAGACAGAAACCCATGTGGCGAAGCAGACCTCTCCTGATTGGCCCGCTGCTCTCCTCAGCAGTGTATTTCAGTCTGTCTCCCTATTCTGTCCCCCACTCTGTCTTTGGTGAATCCGCTCATCCCCCGCACTTCTGGCCTGTACCCCAGCTCTTGTATGCATAAATAAATAAATCTTAAAAAAAAAAATTCAAAAACAAGTATTTTTATCATATGCTTCATCTAATCCTTGTAAATAAAAATATAATTTGTTAGAAAAAATGAATATTAAATATCAACTCTTAAGCATAAGTATGGACCTTCATATTCATATTTCTCTTTGGCTAATACATAGTTTTATTTATTAAAACATTAAGACAGAGCCCTCGGTCCTCCCTGTGGCCTAGGATTAAGTCTCAGAGCTATCACAGCGACAGCCTGAGTTCAATTCCCTGGCCAGGGAGCTAACCCACAGATGGCATAGTAGACCTATCCTGTCTTGCCTGCTGCTCTCCTTAGCAGTGTATTTCAGTTAATCCACCTGCTCTGCTCCCCACTTGTCTCTGGTGAATCCTCTCACTCCCCCTTGCACCTCTGGCTTATATCCCAGCTCTTCTACACAAAAAATAAAATTAAGGGCCTCCCTCCCTGGTGGCGCAGCGGTTGAGCGCTGGGTTGCGAAGCTGCCCGCAGCCTCTGCAGTGCCGGTTCGATCCCCGGCTGCTCCCTGGCAACCGGAGGAGGGTCTTATATGGTGTGCAGACCTCTCCTGCTGCCCGCTGCTCCCCTCAGCAGTGTACTTTGGTCCTTCTGCCTGCTCTGCTCCCTGCTCTGGTGAATTCTCTCGCCCTCCTGCGCTTCTGACTGGGCCCAGTGCTTGTATAAATAAATATTTAAAAAAAATTTCTAATAGCATTAAAAATAGTAATAATAAAATTAAAATTAAAAAGCCCCTACACATTTGCATTCAAACACTGCATACCAAAAGTGACTAAATTACCTCAGTCTGTAAGAGCAGCATATGAAAGTTGGAGATGGACTGTCTATTAATGCCTAGGAATTCAAATTTACTTGTCAGGGTATTTGCCAGTTCTCCAATCTGAAACTAATGCAAAAGAGAAAGATAAAATATAATCAGCAATGTCTTCTGTATTACATAGTCATTTAAGATACTAGAAAACTAGAAAGACCAAACAAGTCTTTTTAAACAGTTACTTAGAAAATCAAATTCTAATTTATAGTACACCAATTCCCACTACAAATAAATGAAGATTCAGATATTAAATGCACATCTACTCATATCATCATAACTCCCAAAACTGTCCAAGCTATCAGTTATCAATTACTAAGTGTTTACACTAGTCTAAAATTACTAAGCACCTACACATACCTAAGTCTAAAATAAAATAAAATTTCCAAGTCCTTTCTACATGGTTATTTATATACTAGGCAGTGACTGAATAAAAATGCCAAGTGAAAAGAATATGCTAACAGTTTTCGCAACAGACCACTTTTAAATAGTCACATCCTTACTTGGTCCAATTCTCATGAGTTTAATCTAAAAAACTGGAACCCAACCTGCTTTTGTACAAAGGCAAAGAGTTCATGCAAGAATTAAACATGTGACTTCTAGCTTCCTTAATATTTCCAAACGGAAGTATTTGATAAGTTATTGCTTTCCAATGGAGGCTTAACTTAAAGAAAATAACCCTAGTTCTTTTACCAAAAAATAATTTAAGCAGCTAGAATTTATGACAGTTTCTCTACATCTAGTCAATCTTATAATTCCACACTTTATTTCTAAATGACTTTCACCTAACCAAGTAAATGATTTATATGTGGCGATAGTAAAGATTACTTATACTATGTGCTAATAAAGTAGATAGGTTGGCTGGTGTAAAAATGTCAAGCTGTATTAATATCCATACTTTCAAGTCTTGTTCTTCTTCTACTTTAGGTGCTGTTTGTACTTTTATCTTCTCTGGAGATTCTTCTACTTCCATCTCTTTGTCTGAATTCTCATCTACTTTTTCTGAATTTTCAGCACCAATTGCTATAAAAGAAAACATGAAATTGAAAGAACTGATATTGATAAGAATATCATGTGCATTTATCACTCTTGTAGTAGATATATCTGGAAAAGACTATTTCTTCTTTGCCTGAATTTTCCTTACTTGTTAAAAGCCCTAGTGATTTGTCAACCATCAGTCAGAAAACTTTAATCCTTTATAATAACCTTTTAAAATGTCTTTGAAATTTACCATAAAATCCTATTTTTGCGTCATTACCTTACAGTTGCTGCTTTTTCTCTTATGCCTTTTATCTTTTTTAATCTCTTCCAGAATACTATTGCTACAATTATTTACAGAAGCTAGCTAACACTAGAATATACAAGGTTCTTTAATCAAGGGTGTTATAAAAGAAAAAAAGG